AATGTATTTTCCCTTTAATTTTGCTCTTGGAAGGACACTTAGATAATCAGATGTCATGTTTCTAGTAGGATTTCACATTTAGTGTAAAAGGCATGTTTATAAGTTAATTTAACATGCAAGCAAGTCCCTTTTAATTTTATTTTGTTTCTTAGGGAGAATTTTCAAAGCTGGTTTGCTTTTTGATTACACAGTTATTGATTGGTTTAGAATTAGCCTGTGTCTTCTGATTTTTAGCTGCCATTATTACCTGCAAATGGTTAGAAAATTACTTACAAAAGGCATGTGTAAGTAATTAGGCCACTGATATTGATTCAAAAGGTGTTGTTTCTATCTCTTTGAAATCTTTATTAAATAAAATTATTAGACTGTTGTGTAGAGTTACCTGTGACATGGATGACTGACTTCAAGTTTCATCTAATCTTTGTTTCAGATAATTCAGATAGTAAGTGCTGCAGACCGAGATCTTTCACCTGCTGGGCAACAATTCTCCTTTAGATTATCACCAGAGGCTGCCATCAAACCAAATTTTACAGTTCATGACTTCAGAAGTGAGTATAACCACTTACAGATTTACCCCTTATGTAGCCTTGTCAAAGGGCACACAGGGAGGATTCAACTGCGTTCCCAAAAAGCAGCTTTACAAGGCATAGAAGTCCATATATAAGAGACACAAACTTTTCAACTAGCAACAAATTAATTACTCCATTTTTGTTTTCAGATAATCCAGCTTACTCTCATTATAAAGGGGGCTGAGCTTTTAATGATTTAAACAAATAAAACTTTTTCTGGGAAATTGAGTGCTTCATTATTTTGAATAAAGCAGTATAACAATATGCACATTTCTTATACATGCAAATTAATTCTATATTTTTTTCTTTTATTTGAGCAACAAACAGTTCTGAGGTGATGCATCAGGCAGTTCAATTAGAATTAACAGAATTTTATTCCCACTGCATTATTCCCCAGGGGCCACAACTGAGAAAATTATCCTAAGTAATGTAAAACTCAGAGCATCTGTATTGAGATCACATGCAAAGCCTTTAATACAATTCCTCAAATGTATCTGTTAAGATAATTTTAGCTACAACTTCTGAAAACATATCTTTCACTTTACTTCCACAATTATAGTCTGCTATGAACACTTCTATGTCTAATATTACTATAGTTGCTAATATTACAGTCAGCACAGAAACATTTTTTGGATTAGATTATGGATACTCCTCATTTCATGGTGAGGCTGTTTCATAATAACTTATTTTAAAGATGGAAATATCCAACTACAGATGATATATTATACAGTATCAAGAACAAATCTTAGTCTAGTCTTCTTTAAGTGTGATCAGAGTATTCCCATTAATTTCCACTGGTTAAAAACATCTAACAAAAGTTAGAGTGGCTTTAAAATGCATTAGGTGTTTGCTACAAGTAAAAGCGGAGTACTTGTTTGGCCATACTTTCCTACCATCATGAATTTAAAAAAATGCAAGCTAAGTCATTTCTATGCCAGAATCAATTGTATTAAGGTTTTCAAACTTTACTTCTGCGACTTTGTACATTGATCTACTCTTTGTACGTATATAATATCTAAGTATCAGGTATCTGATATCATCATATTCAGTTTAGATGGGAAAACTGAAGTTCTAATGGACTTTGTTTTTCAAACAAGTGAAAGGGTATGATATATCGATGATAGTGACAACTGATTAAATGGAAGGATGTCAGGAGAAACCCTCAATTTTTTGTGGTGAATAGAGAGAAGAAAGTCTGAATATCCATATTTCTCACTGAACTTGGAAGGATTTGGCTCTATCCTATGGTGTGATATGATGAGTATCTGTAAATAAAAATCATACAAAATATATAATTTTAAAACTAGCATACACATTCTTTTATCATGAAAATAACACTTTACAAAGTATAAGTGGTCAGTATTTAGACAACAATATATAGAAAACACTGATGTCTAAGGGAATGGAGCATATGGTCGTTTGAATGAGAATGCTCCCATAGACTCGCATGCTTGAATACTTGGTTAACAGTTGCTGGAACTGTTTGGGAATGATTAGGAGACATGGCCTTGCTGGAGGAGGTATGTCTCTGGGGCCCACGCTGAGGTATCAAAAGCCCATGTCACTTCCTCTTGACTTTCTCTACTTTCTGCTGTTGGATCAAGGTGTAAGTTTTCAGCCATCCTTGACTATCTGCTGCCATGCTCTCCACAATCATGTTCATTAATCTTACCCCCTGAAATTATACATTAACTCTATCTTCTATACATTGTCTTGGGGCTTACTCTCTTGTGACAGCAATAAAATTAAAACAACTAAAACATAGCCATATTTTCAGCCTATTAACAACTTATTTGAAAAGAAATTAATTACAAAGATCTTAGAAACCTGTGAAAAATTGAAGCAACAGTATAATATGATCAAATCTGTAATTTAGAAATATCACTATGGCTGTTGTATGGAAAGATTTTCCACAGCTTCTGTGTATCTTAGACTATGATAATGACTATGCAGACAAAACTAGCTGTATGGAGCAAAAATTGATACGGGCTTTACTATAGCTTCTTGACTTCAGTAAAGAGAAGGATATTGGTGAAATTATTAAGGCCACTCCATGTAGTTAAAAGGAGATTTGTTTAATGGCGTAACTTACAAATGAAGGGATAGGTAGGTTGCAGAGTCTGGGAAAGACATAGCGCAGTCCAGCAGCGTTCTCTGGAGAACTCTGCTCGGTCTACTCCCAGCGTCCAGGATCCAGGAACCAAGAGAGGCAGCATATCCAGATCTCCGGTCTTCAGGGTCCTCTTTTGGCCCTGCCTTGTAGGCGTGACAGTTACCGAAGCCTCAATGGGGGTTGGAACTTCCAGATCAAAGCTGGAATGGCTACCCACTACATCTCCCCCTTTTGTCTAAATAAGAAGGTTCTAACCTAATACAAGACTATATAGAAGATCTTAATCTTGAACAACTGTATGAAGATCTTTATCTTGAACATCTAAGTTGACAGTTGAATCACTACACAGCAGCAATGACAATTTCAACCAATTTGTGTGCACTTTTTTTTTAACTTTGGGTGTTTATCTCCTCTAAGTAACCATGTTCTGTAAAATACGTATTAAATGTCAGATATTATGAAATTTGGTGATGTAAAGCTAAAGATTTAGTAAATCAAAGAACAACATTCAAGAATAGAACACAGCCAGTCGGTTGTGGCGCACGCCTTTAATCCCAGGACTCAGGTGGCACAGGCAGGTGGATCTTTGTGAATTTGCAGCCAGCCTGGTCTACAGAGTGAGATCCAGGACATGCACAAAGCTACACATAGAAACCCTGTCTCCAAAAACCAAAAAA